GGGGGGATTTGTTTTGTTTGCTTGTTTCTCTTTATGGGAGCAAATGGCCGGGTCTTTTTCCCACAGAGGAACCTCTAACCCAGGTAAGCAGCTGAGTCCGTTTGTAAGGCACCATTCGACCCAGCGATCCCACTGCTCAGTGTACATCCAAAGCACTTTAAAAGACAAGGGCTCAAACACAATGCTCATTACAGTCTTATTCACAGTGGCCAAAAGGTGCAGATGACCCAAGTTCCCATCAATATATGAATGAATGCCAAAATGTACTATATGCTCACACGATGGCGTATTACTCAGACACAGAGACATGGAGTTCTGCTACATGAAACACCACAGATGAACCTTGAAGACGTTCCACTAAATAGAATACAACCAAAGTCAAATTAACCATCATCGAGTGAATGCCAACTCATAGAAATTCTATAGGACTTACCCTGTGGCTTTCTGAGACTGTAACTCTCTATGGGGGCAGAAAGCCTCATCATGGTCCCAAGGAGCAGTTAGTGGTTTTGAAATGCTGACTTTGCAGTTAGCAACCCAAACACGCAGTCCACTATGCCACAAGTGTACCAGTAATTAAAGAAGGCAGAGACAAAGGGATAAGTATTGTGTGAAGTATTGAGGATAGGCAAATGAATAGAAATCAAGGCAAAGGAATAGAAACCAAACTTATTAGCTGGTACAGGCATGACTAGTTGTAGGAAGCTGGAAACAGAGGCGGGTGGTCGTTATATAAAATGTTGGGAGTAATTCACGTTACTGGGCTGTCCACCTAAAAATGTTTAAATGACCAAGTTATATATATTTGACCACTGCGTATGTGTTTCTATATGTATATCCTAATCTATAATGGCTTGCCAAGAACTAAAAAGATGTACTTTTACTTTTAAAGAAAGAATGGAAAAAGAAGAGATGAAACACTTTTATTACTAGACCATGTGCCTCATCTGCAAAAAATGAGTGAAAATATAAATCCTACTGATTATGCAGTTTCCTGCACCAATTAAGGTGACGGGTGAAATGGGTTGGCTGTCAACTGGGAAGTGGTGGCTGGAAGCCCTCTATGGGACAGAACACCTGACCCTCTGCTCTAGTGAAGGTTTCAGTCCAAGAAACCCTGTGGGCCAGTGCCCCACTGTTTCACAGGATCACTGTGAGTCAGGGTCACTGGTCTGTCCGTCTGTCGTATTGTGGTGGCTCATGGGTTGCTGTGATGCTGGAAGCGATGTCACTGGTGTTTTAAATGCCAGCAGAGTCACCAAAAGTGAACAGATTTCAGCGGAGCTTCCAGACTAAGGACGGACAATGAAGAAGGATTTGGCTTCCCACTTTGGAGGAAGAAGCCACGGAAAAGCTCATGCATAGCATCAAAGCATTTTCAATACTGAGAGCCTGAACCAAGGGAGCAGAACATTGCTGGAGACACTGCAGGAAGATGGACCCCTCGCGCCGGAGGGCTTTCGACACGTGACTGAAGATGAGATGATTTCTTGGAAGGGGAGTCGGCCATGGTGACGTGAGCCAGGCAAAGGTGTGGGAGTGGGAACTTTGGGATCCTCATTTATGGATGGGGCATAACTCAAGGTAAAGAGAAACACTGCAAACATATGCTAGTGATTGGAACTTGGAATGTGCAAAATATGGATTTAGGAAAATTGGAAGTGGTCAAAATGAAATGGGGCACATGAAGATAGGGACGGGTATTGGCCATTTTGAATCAGAAAATCATATGCCATTTTGAATCAGAAAATCATATGTGATAGAATTATAACTATCTGCCTTCAAAAATCCAATTAATACAACTATTTCCAAATTGATGCAATAACCACAAATGCTAGTGATGAAGAAATCAAAGGATTCTACCAATGACTTCAGTCAGAATTAATCAAATGTGCAATCAAGATACATTGATAGTTTATTGGTTATTGGAAGACAGAAGTTGGAAACAAAGGAGAAGGACATGTAGTTGGAAAATATGAACTTGCTGATAGAAATGAAGCTGGAGATCTCATGATAGAATGTTGCAAAACCAATGACTTATTCATAGCAAATACCCTTTTTCAACAACACATTGACTTCCCCAGAAGGAATGCACAGAAATCAAATAGACTACATCTGTGGGAAGGCACATCGAGAGCTCAATATCGGCAGCTAAAACCAGACCAGTTCACAAGAAGGGAGGAGCCAACCAGGGTGCAGAATAGCACCGATGAAACACACCATATTCCTCTGGCTCCTTGAGGCTTCCTCACCTCCCACTATCATCACAGCCCTGCCTTTCAGTTCTGGCTAGACAGCATGTACACAGGTACAGATAAGAGCTCACCCACAAGAATCCAGGAACAGGAATGGGAGTAACAGTCCCAGGAGGGTGGGAAGAAGGTGGGGAAGCGGAGGGGAGGAAGGGGGAACTGATTGCAATGATCTACACATAACCACATACACACACACACACACACACACACACACACAAAACTTGGGGGGAGATGAACAACAGAAACCATGGGGTAAAGGAGACAGCGGTCATTATAAGATATGAAAATAATAATAATAATTTGTAATATATCAAGGGGTAACGAGGGTGGGAGACAGGAGGGATGGCGAAAAGAGGAGCTGATACCAAGGGCTCGAATAGAAAGTAAATGTTTAGAAAAGAATGATGGCCATATATGTACAAATATACTTGATACAATTGATGTATGGATTGTTATAAGAGCTGTAAAAACCCCCAATAAAATGGTCTTTTAATATAAATAAATAAAACCAGACCAGGGGCCAACTGTGGAGCAGACCAATAACTGCTCATGTATAAGTTCAGGATAAAGCTAAAGAAAATGAAAATAAGTCCGCAGGAGCCAAAATACGACCTAGAGTCTATCCCACCTCAATTCTGACATCTCAAGAACAGATTTGGGACATTGAACGCTAAGGACGGAAGGCTGGTGAGCTGTGGGAGGACGTCAAGACCATCACTCATGAAGAAGCAAGAGGTCATTAAAAAGGTGGGAAGGAAAGAAAATATCAAAGTAGATGTCAGATGAGACTCTGAAACTTGCTATTAATCATAGAGGAGTTAGAGCAAACAGAAAAAAGAATAATGTCAAGGAGCCAAATAGACAATTTCAAAGGGCAGCTTGAGATGACAAAGCCAAATATTATGGTGAAGTATGCAAGGACCTGGAATTAGAAAACTGAAGAGGAAGAACATGCTTAGCATATCTGAAACTGAAAGAACTCAAGAAAAAAATTCAAGCCTCAAACTGCAATTTTGAAAGATTCTGTAGGCAAATTATTGAATGATGCAGGACACATCACAAGAAGATAGAAAGAATACAGAGTCACTGGACCAAAAAGAATGAGTGGACATTCTACCATCTCAGGAGGCAGCATATGAGCTAGAACCAATGGTGCTGAAGGAAGACGTTCAAACTGGGGAGACCGAACCCCTACCTGCCGCAGCCGGAGGATCGCTGCCGTCACCACCATCAGTCCTGCCGAAGCACGTGTCCTCCGTGGACATGACCTGTGAGGGCTGCTCTGACGCGGTCACTCGTGTCCTCAACAAGCCGGGAGTTCAGGTTGACATCGACCTGCCCAACAAGAGGGTCTGCGTGGACTCCCAGCACAGCGTAGGCACTCTGCCAGAGACCCTGAAGAAAACAGGGGAAATTGTGTCCTACCTGGGTCCCCAGTAGCAGGGGCCTGGCCTCTGACCCACAGGATGGACCAAAGAGGGTGGGTTGGCTGCTCCTCTTCTGTCTTGGCTTCCAGAAAGACCCAGCACTCCTGCTCAGTGATATGAGTTCCCGTGGAGACCCTCACTCACCCTATTCCTCCCTTGCTTCCTTGCAATAAAGTCGAGCTGCTTTTATCAGGAAAAGGAAAAAAGAAGTTCAAACTGCACTGAATGCAACAGTCAAAAACAAGGCCCCAGGAATTGGTGGAACACCCATTGAAATGATTCAGCAAGCTGAAGAAGCACGGGAGGCGCTCACTCGTCTGTGCCAGGGAGTTTGGAAGACCGCTACTTGGCCAACTGACTGGAAGAGCTCCCTATGTGTGCCCATTCCTAGGAAAGGTGACTCAACAGAATGCTCAGACTATAGAACGATGTCATTGATGTCTCACACAAGTAAAACTTTCCTTAAGATCACCCAACAATGGTTGTGACAGGGAACTGCCAGAAGTTCAGGTCAGATGGAGAAGAGGACGTGGAACAAAGGATGTCATTGCTGATGTCAGATGGATCTTGGCTCAAGCCAGAGATTCCCAGAAAGATGTTTACTCGAGTCTCCTTGACTATTCAAAGGCATTAGATTGTGTGGACAATAATAAACCTTGAGAAGAAAGGCATTTCCAGAACAGTTCATTGTGCTCATGAGGGGCTTGCATATGGACCAAAGGCAGTGGTGCTGACAGGAAAAGGGTACACTGTGTGCCTTAAAATCGCTAGAGGTGTGTGTCTCTCACCATACTTGCTCAGTCCATATGCTGAGCAATGATCAGAGAAACTGGAGAATATGAAGAAGAATGCCGCATCAGGATGGGAGGAAGGCTTATGAACAGCCTGCGGTGTGCAATGACACCGCCTGGCTTGCTGAAAGTGAGGAGGACTTAGAGCACTTGCTGATGAAGATCAAGGAATGTAGCCTTTAGTCTGGATCACAACTCAATGGAAGGAAGACCCAAATCCTCACAACTGGGCCACTGGACAACATCACGAGAAGTGGAGAAAAGATTGAAGTTGTCAAGGATTCTGTCTTACTTGGATGCACAATCAATGTTCATGGAAGCAGCAGTCAAGAGCTCAAAAGGGTATTGCATTGGGCACATCTGCTGCACAAGGCCTCTTTAGCGTACTGAAAAGCAAGGATGCTACTTTGAGGACCCAGGTGCACCTCTTCCAAGACATGGCATTCTCCCTTGCATCACATGCATGGGAAAGTTGGACCTTGAATAAGGAAGACCATAGAAGAATTGATGCATTTGAATTGTGGTGCTGGAGAAGAATATTCAGAGTCCTGTGGACTGCTCAAAGGACAAACCTATCTGTCTTGGAAGAAGTAAGGTCAGAGTGCACCTTAGAAGCAAGGATGGCAAGACTTGTACATATTTTGGACATGCTGTCAAGGGAGACCCGTCCCTGGAGAAGGACATCGCTTTGGGTAAAGTGGAGGGGCAGTCAAAAAGAGGAAGGCCCTCCACGAGATGGATGGACACAGTGGCTGCATCGTGAGTTCAGGCAAAGGATGGCACAGGCCAGTATAGTGTCTGTGGTGTCTTAGCTCTGTTGTGCATAGGGTCTGTATGGGTTGGCGTCCACCTGACGGCACCTCACAACAGTAACAACATGAGTCAGCACTCATTCGGTGGCAGCGGTTAAAAAAAAACCCTGCATCACAGTTGTGAGGTTAGCATGCATTGATTTATGCAAAGTGCTTCAAACTTTGCAAAGCACCCTGCTCTACAGACTCCTGGGCCACTGTTCCAGCATGCCTTCAAAGAAGATTCTTTTAAATGCCCATTCAACACTTCATTTGGAAGAGTCCTGAGGAACTGATTCCTATTAATAAACGTATATTGTGTTTCTTGTGTTTGCTATCAAAGGAATTACACACACACACCGGTTCCAGGCAATTTTCTGGACCAGAGAAACCAGGCAGCATTTTAAATGATTTCAATATTTAGAGAATAAGCCACGTTTCCTCCATTCTATGATTTTCTGTTGCAAAATTTCAGCAACCGTCACTGCTAAATTCAGCGCCGGCCAGCTGGCTAGATTTGCAGCCGGCGGTCAGACTGCTCATGCCTTCGTCACTCACAAGTCAGTGGCAAAAGGTACGCATGAGAGCAGAGCTGGTCTTGGCCATGGATCTCTGCTCTGGGCCCCCTTTTCCATGGCAGGAGTGGGGCCAATATTCTTTTTGTCACTTGTAACAAACCATAACAGAGATAGATGGGAATGAGAGGATATTTGTTTTCCATTGCTGGGCAGTCTTCCTTTGCCTGGTGAGATAGTTATGGTGTATTGTGCCAACCTGGCCAATAAACACATGCGGGATTAATTGAAGGGCAGAGAGATAAATGGCTCGGTGAGTCTCGCCTGTCTAGTTCTCGGGGCTCTTGCTTTCTGATGGTCGGACCAGGGTGCAGCTGCCTTAGCCAGTTCCCTGTTTCAGCTGGCCAGACTCACTTCCTGCAAGACATCCCTGAGGAGAAGCCACATGGACCTACCCCGATGCAGCCCTGGGTGCTGGAGCAGCCGTGTGGAGAGCCCTGCCAGCGCCCAGATGCTTACACATTCACTAATTTGGCTTTCCTCCTGCAGTCAGCATCATTGTGTGTGTTTCATGTGATTGAAGAAGACTTTGTAGATTTGGGTCAGACATATGGGCTAATGTTGGACTTATGGGCTTGGGCAGCACTGGGTTGGGATGCTTTCTTAATGTACACTTACCCTTTATATAAAACTCTCTTTTATACATAGGAGTTTCTGTGGATTTGTTTCCCTAGTTTACCCAGACTAACACACCTGGTTTTCAGAAGCAAGCCTGACTTAAGGAGCTGGGGCGGAACAATGGCTAAGTGCTTGGCTGCCAATAAGGTTGGCGGTTCAAACCCAATCAGCGCCTCCGTAGGAGCAAGACCGGGTGATCACAGCATAGAAAACTCTCAGGGGCAGGTCTACTCTGTCACGTGAGGTTACTAGGAGTTCAACTGAACACCTAATAACAAGAAGGGGAATTTGCATTTTATCAGCCACACAGACCCTCAATACGAAGGAACAGCACCTTTCCCCAAGGGGTGTTTATTTAAGCCTTCCTGACTGACTGCATTTCCAACCAGATGCCCTGCTGAGTAGTCCCCCCCTGAACCAAATCCTGTCTTGTCGTACCTTATTTCCCCCCCCACCCCCGTGTTCCACTTAGTTTCCTGGATGTTGGTCTTAGATGCCCCCAAGGATGAAACGTGGCCTGTGCCTGGGCCATCTCTGGCACCTGTGATATGCTTGAGTCCATCGGTTTGCCTACTGTGTCCATCTCTCTCATGGACGGGTTTCCTCCTGGTGGCTGATCCTCGACTTCACCAAATAGGGTGTCCTTTTATAGCCAGGGCTCCTTCCAACACCAGGGAGCCCAGTCTCTCCAAGTCTTGGCGTCTAAGGAGCATGCTGGTTGTATTTCTTCTCAGATGGATGTGTCTGTTCTTCCATGTCATTGTGGCTGTTGATCTGAATGTCCATCAAGTTGATGCCGACTCACGGTGATGCCAAAACAAAAAACAAAAAAAACGTGCGGCAGAGTAGAATGGCCTGTCGTGTTTTCTTGCCTGTCCTCTGAACAGAGTTCATCAGCCCTTCGTTTTGCAGATTCTACTCCTCTAGGTAACACCCTTACTTTTTGACACTGTACAGAGGTCTTGTGCAGCCGATTTACTCGTGGATCCTGCTTCCATGAGCATTGACTGTGTGGATCCAAGCAAGACAACATTCTTGACAACTTCAACCTTTTCTCCACTCATCATGTGGTCATCGTGGTACCGTTAGGAGGGTTGTTGTTTTCTTGACATTGAGTTGTAATCCACACTGAAGACTGCACTCCTCGAGCTTCATCAAGCCCTCCTCACTTCCAGCAAGCAAGGTTGTGTCATCTGCATATTGCAGGCTGTTAATAAGCCTTCCTCCAATCCCAATGCCATTTTCCCCTTCATATCATCCAAATAAGAAGAATCAGCGGTTTGAATTATGGCGCTGTTAATGGATATTGAAAGTATAATGGACTGCCAAATGAACAAACAAATTTCCTTGGAAGAACTCGCAGAGTGCTCCTTAGAGGTGAGGATAGTGAGACATCATCTCACAGATTTTGGACACGTTAGGAGAGACCAGTCCCCCCGGAAAAGGACATTGTGCTTGGTAAAGTGGAGATGGCAGCAAACAAGAGGAAGACCTTCGACAAGATGGACTGGCATCATGGTGGCTGCAACAATGGGCTTGAACTTGACAATGATTGTGAGGCTGGCACAGGACCAGTCTGTGGTTGGATCTATTGTCTGCAGGGCCAGTTACTGTGGGTCAGAACCTACTTGACGGTACCTTTGCAACTGCGACAATGACAACGACCTGCTTGCAAAGCCCTCAAGCTGCTGGGGCATGGGGTCAAAGCAACTTGCAGGAGGGTGAGGAGAGGAAAGCAGTGGCTGAGGGGGCGGGGAGGAGGTGATGTGGACTTCTGGTGACCACCATCGACCTAGGCATGGTCACTTCTGGGCTCCAGTGCCTCTGTGTCATTTATCTGCCTCCCTGTGCCCAGTCACTTTGGCCACACAGTGGGCGGTGTCTATTCTCTGTCCCCACTCAGCCTCACAGCCATTCTGGGAAGGACATATTTGTACTTCTGCAGTGACAGTCACCTGCCACTAAGACAAGCTCGCCCGAGTAAGGGTGGAGTCACATTGGGGGTTTTCTTTTCCTTACATGACCTAACAGCCACTGAAGTAGCAGCCCCGTGCTTCACCGCTGCTTGAGGAACCATCAGGGACCTGGGAGCCACTGCCACCAACCCCGAGCTGCCATCCTCATGGGCGGAAGGCAAGATGGCTACCCTTCTCTATAAGAAGAGCGTTGGTGCCCTGGCAGGGAGAAAAGGAAGGACATGTGCCAGTTGAGTCTGTCCCTTTCCAAGAGAAAGGCGCT